CAGAATGTAATTTTATAAATGTGACATCAATCATGAAATAAAAAATTGCCTAACCATTTCACCACCGGACTTTCTCAGCCAAATTTTTCTGCACTTTTTTATATTCAATATTTCTGAAAATGAACCATAATTTATTGAACCAACAGACAAAATTTGAATCAGTTTTCAGTTTTTACCCAAAAATTAACTATTTTTGTCTCGACCTTCTGAAGGACAGTGCAGACTATAACTGTGACTATTTCGTGAATTTGTGATGAAAAGAGGGAACTGGAGTTGATAATGTTAATATTAATAATCTCTGTGCAATGTTACGCATATTAAAAGTGAGAATCAAAAAGATACAAATTTTAATCTGTCTTTCAACACCGCAAATAAAAAGAATACATTGAATAAATAAGTTAATTGGCTGTACAAATTAATAGAGTTTTTACAGTAACCTTATCGCATCTACAATAGTCACTGAAAATTCCTGAAAAATCCAGGCAATGGGTGGGGATGTCACAAAGTTTTTTCTGTCATTGGTAAAATGTAGGTAGAGTATTTGAGAGTCAAGTGTACATGTTGTACATGTATGTCAATACGCTGTGGCTGCTATAAATATTGACTAATGTCAATAGGCCTTGTTTCGATTTTGAACGACACACCGACTTTAGCCTTGAACACTGCTACGCTGCCTTACAAAGTAATGTTACTACAAAGCAGTGAGTGGATGAAATGTTAATCTTACCAGCTGGGAGTGAACTGTTGCTTCTTCAATGTACTTGGAGATGCCAGTGACAAATGCATTGCGATCTTCAAAGTTGGTATCAAAGTTAGCCTGGTATGTAAGTGACAAAGCTGGTGCCTCGATGCATGGTTGTTGGTCTGGTAAGGGCAGCTCCTCTAATAAATCTACATTGGATAGAGCATCCTCCAGACTAATTTGTGCGGTCATGTTGTCTGCACATGAAAAAAAAAAGGCATGTGATCAGTGAGAAAGACTGGGTAGCAACAATGACTGACCAATTGTAACTAAAATTTCATCTACATTGAGCAATATGCAACCTGAAATTGTTAAACATTATAAGAAGCACACTGCAACATAAAATAAAATTCAGTAAAAATGTTAATTAATCAATAATTGTATCATTCAAATCATGTTTGAGTCCAGTAAATTTTAACAAAACGGTAGTAATTTTCCACAAATAAAACAAGATTCAGTTAGTGACGATTCTGTTTTCAATTGTTTCATGAAAACAGATACTGTATTTGCTCTATTAGAAGCACATATGAATAAAACATTTCACTTATTGTACGCTAGATCATTAAAATATGTCTTATTTTGACCATAGACTCACTAGTGTCATTTATACATGTATAAGCAAATGCACTACTAATAAAGCCAATACAGTAATACATAAATACAGGTCATGCATGTTTGTAATTTATTATATACCCGGTAAATGACAGACAACAGGATTAACACTTACAAACCATAGCAAAAATTAAAAAAAAAAAAAACATTTATTTTCACTGCTTTGACTTTTTGGCAGATTTGGCAGTTATTTTAAATGTTCACATGGATTTAATTAAGCAAATTTTACTTATGGAATGGAAATTAAAACCCAATGAATAATTACATTTTATTTTCTGCTACAAGAAAAATGCCAGAATAATTTATATTCCAAATCAGTTCCTCAAAAACTTTAAAATAAAAGAGATATGCATTCTGCTTATAAAACTTCTTTTGCTACAAGTACTGCACATTGTTGGAATATTCACTTAATGTAATGAAACGAGAAGCACAGATAGTGAAATAGAAAAACGTCCACAGACTAGGCTTACTTAAGAGCCCAGGTGAGTCATCTGTGGACAGATACACCTAAGTGGTGCCTAGGATCTGGTGTGTAATGTACATGTTAACATCTACAGCATGGGAACACCCACTGAATGGTAGTTATCACACCAGATGATTGAATCACAGTTCTGAGTGCCATGGAGATATCACAATTGTATTAGGTATTACATGTCCATTTCATAAGAGTTTGTCCACTATACTATTTGTGAGAGAAGTGAAACAACAAGGAATTATGAAAGACTACCAATTGAAATCCACAATATTATAAGTTTCTCTACAACTATGAGCTGTAATGGATATGATGAGTACTTCCACTGGCCAACGTATGAAATGTATGATTTGCAGCGAATACTGGCATTAGCAGCACTCATACGAGTCCTCAAAATAAAACTGAACATTACATTTCTTCATAGATTGTCTCTTTACAACAATTATCAAGACGAAATGAAGAAAAATATTGAACTCCCTAAAGAAATAGATAACAAACAAAAAACATTTTTATATTTCTGATGAGCAATAATAACCAAAATATAACACCTAGAAAAGTATATTTACAGATCTTTTGAAACTAGAAAGGAAAAATCTCTATAAACCCATTACCAGGTACGGTACTAACTTTTATTTACCATTACTTTTATCTTATTATTAACTAACTAAACTTTCTTTTATTACTTTATTGTTGTAGACTGATAAAAAGATTGTATTTCTAAAGAAGCAATAAAGATTATTATTATTATTATATCACGCATGATCATTACAGAGGGTAGTTGGTGAAAAACTCATAATGCAGACTTTTCAAAGTGATTTTTTGCAAAAAATAAACGGGAAAACACATATATTTACATATTGGAATTTCACATTTATAATATTTTATTATGAGTGTATATGTATATCGGCAGATAGTTGATGGTTTGTGAGACGGGACATGGATTATTACATAAGTAGCGGATACAATTTTATGAGATGCACATTCAAACCTAAACAGACCGTGCGGTGAAAATGCGTGACTGATGATCATTTGAATCAAAGTCAAAGAGGTCAGACCGTCCCCTGATTTCGACGTGATCCCCCGATGCAAGGAATGTAAATATTATCACTGTGTGTCAAGAGGTCTTACAATGAGGCGTATACCAATTAAGCACGACTTCGACAACATATCTCCAGGTTTTGTGGGTTGGACTTCCGATTCACATTGTAATATAAATTAACAATTCCAACAGTGTCAGTGCCAGCATGGACATATATCCATGGTGCCA